TATTTAATAAAACAGAAAAGGAACAAAATCATTACAGAAACTAAAGCAATAACACTAACAACATTATACAATAAGGACTTTTCGTAGATGTACAAATGTGTATAAGTTTTACATAACAATTTCAGTGAAGGAAGGAATTACATATTTCATTGTAATTGTCCACATATATTCTATGTCTGTAAGCAACTTGTTCATGAGTCAAAAGTAACATCAGGTCTTCAGTCCACGGAGTAATTGGGACCATACATTTATCTTTCCAATGCTGAAAGGTTTGAAAGCAATAAAAAGGGCATGCAGAATCCAGCTGTCAGTGTCCATGCAATAGGTATGTAATTCAAAAGAATATGGACATGCTAACATATTAAACTCTCTCTTGAAGGCAAGTTAATATTTGTTGTGACTTCTTCACAGAACAGAATAGCTTTAGGGCATTGCAAAAAATGTTTTAATGAAGCATTATTCTCATTGCATCCCCAACAACATGATGATTTATTCATTCTTTTTTATCCAAACGCAATGGGGCCCAGGAAGTCTGAAGTGTTCTTTTTTTTGTTGAATAAGCCGTAATCTAAGATCTATTGAGAATTTCGTTATTGAGGTTCACACAGTCTCCTACCATATACACCAGTGTTTCTCAACCTTGCACCTTTCATACGCGTGGACTTCAACTCCCAGAATTCTGGGAATGGCTGGCTGGGGAATTCTGGGAGTTGAAGTCCACACATGTGAAAGCTGCCAAGGTGGAGAAACGAAACCCTGACATAGGCAAATGGGGATCTCTAATTCCTCATTCCATTCAGTCTTTAAAACTTGCATATCAGATTGATTTATCGATCAAAGGTACTTCTAAAAATTTGTCATGGATTTTGCGATTCCTTCTAATGACATAGGTGTTGCTCAAGCTGAAGATGCCATTGGTCCAAACTGAGGTGCCATTATGTAATTGTTGCAGCTGTAAGCTCTGCCATTGGGTGGCAACAGGCAAATTATATTTGTATTTTAACACTGGAAATGGTAAAAACTCATTATTGTCATTCGCTAGTTGATCTAAAGTAGAAATCCCAGCGTCCATCGAAATCTCCCATATCTCATTTCTTAATTTAATTAATTTTAAGGTCTGGAATTCTTCATAGCTTCAGTCTAGTGTGAAAGAGAGGATAAAAGTGCAGTTTTCCAGAAAGAACACACCACAACTTTTGGGTCTTTGAAACAGTGGAAACACCTGATCTCTTACATGCTGAACCCAAATCAGTGCAATGAACTAAGGTGCTCTGTATGAATGTTCCAAAAGAGCAGAGGGAGGGGGGTTTGCTCTGAGTGAAGGGATCCCGCTGGGGGTTCATCGAAAGATCTGCACTAAGGAAGACGAAGAGCGAACCCGGCCAAAGGCAAGCTAGAGCCACGATTAAGGCCTACCTCGTGGCGGCAAGAGCGGTGAAACATCAGCACTTCCCCACTCTTATTGCATCCGCAGAATGCTGCCTGGTGGCCCTATTTAAGATCACCTGGTCCCTTTTGGGACGGGGGCCCAGTGGCCCACTTACAGGGCTGCGCAGAGGAGTTTTCTAGGCACCTGGAGGATAAAATCGCTTGCATCCGGTCCCAGTTGGATACCAAGCATGCAGCAAGAGATCTATAGAGATGCCCAGGGTACGGACTTACCCTGTTATCTGGAAACAGTTTGATCCCGTTGGACCCAAGAAAGTGGACAGTGTCCTCCGAACGGTCAGTGCCACTTGCCAACTAGATCCATGTCCTTCCTGGCTGGTTAAGGCTACTTGGGAGGTGACATATAGATGGGTCTAGGTGATGGTGATTTCATCCTTGAGGGAGGGAGTGTTTCCAGCAGCTTTTAAAGAGGCGCTGGTGCTTCTCCTCCTCAAGAAGCCATCACGGGCCCCACCATACTGGACCATTCTTGCCCAGTTTCCCACCTCCCCTTTTTAGGGAAGGTGGTGGAGAAGGTGATAGCATTGCAGCTCCAGAGAATCCCAGAGGAAATGGATTATTTAGACCCCTTCTAGTCAGGTTTCAGGCCTGGATTTGGGATGGAAATGGCACTGGTTGCACTCATGGATGATCTCTGGTGGGAGCGGGATGGGGGTAGCGCACCCATCCTTGCTCTTCTTGACCTTTCAGCGGCTTTCAGTACCATCGACCATGGTATCCTTTTGGGTCGGCTTGGGGAGTTGGGAGCGGGCGGCGCAGCTCTGTGCTGGTTCTCTTCCTTCCTCCAAGGTTGATCCCAATCGGTGTTGATTGGGGGCAAGAGGTCCAGCCTGCGGCCCCTCCTTTGTGGGGTGCCCCAGGGTTTGGTATCCTCTCCACTCCTTTTTAACATCTACATGAAGTCACTGGGTGAGATCATCCAGCACTGTGGGATGAGGTATCATCAATATGCAGATGGTACCCAGTTATACATGGCATGGGACCAGGTTACCTGAGGGACTGCCTCTTCCCCACGATTTCAACCTGTCCCACCCAGTCTGGCAGAGAGGGCATGTTGTGGATCCCATCAGCAAGGGAACGTTGGCTGGGGAGGCCCAGGAGGAGAGCCTTCTCTGCCGTTGCCCCCGCCCTTTGGAATATTCTCCCCCAGAAGTGTGGCGGCCCCTGCCCTCCTGGCTTTCCGAAAAGGTTTAAAGACCTGGCTCTGTCAGTGTGCATGGGGTGATATGGGCTCTACCGTCCCTGGGGGTGGTTAGCGCCCTGATGATGCTCCCTGGAATTACTTGCCAATTTTCCATCTTCTTGAAACCTATTTATTTTTAGGATTGTTTTTATGTTGTATTTTAATGAATTTTTATCTTGTTGTAAACTGCCCAGAGTCGTTTCATGAGATGGGCGGTGACCAATTGGATAAATAAATAAAAATAAAATAAAATTAATATTTTATTCAAGATTCAGGAAAGCAAAGTCCCCATCTTTAACAGACCATTGCAGTGTTTTCAGATATATTCAGAATTGAAGAACCACACAGAAATGCATGGAACAATGTACTGAGTTTTGGAAAATATTTTCCAAATATATATGTAGAAATTCCACTGAAAAGATAAAGTGTCCTGAACATTACATTCGTTTTGAAAATATTTAGCCTAACCCCAAAGGATAAGGCTTCAGGATTCCCATCTGTCAGTATCCAAAGAAGCATCTTGGTATATCTTACTCATATTTAATGCAATTATTGTCAGCCCTTCAAGGTAGACCAGACTAGGAAACCAGTGCCATGTAAGTCAGTACTACTTCTATTGTAAAGCTATAGTAACAGAATCTTGCAGGTCTGAATGTGCTTCCCCCCCCCCCCCCCCC